TCAATTACTTCGCTAAATGAAACGTGTCTAACTGTTTCTCCTTAATAGCACCCTGAAAACGATCCTCCAGTACGAATATTTCCTCCGCGATAGGCATCTCCGGAAAGATGTAATCTCTGATAAATTTTCCAGACGTCCTATTTTCTTTTTTATTCACTTCTCCGTTTCACCCGGATATCCAAACCAATTAACTAATAGAACATTCGTCACACTCTTCCCCATCGCGATCACGAAACCTTCTTTTCAAGCAACGTGTACAATTCCTCGGAACGTCACATTTCCATCTCGAAATGAAAATCGTATCTCGTCGCTGGGATATTTTCCTTTTTGCCAGCGGGTAACGATGAATCGAGACCGATAAAATGTAACCGCGCAAAATGGCCGCACAGGTCGTAAGAATAACACGAACCTAACAATAAGCAACGGCCGAAATAAACCGTTTGCCTCGACATTTGGTGCTCTTCAATTATTAACAAGACACGTCCTTATCGTAAGACGCCAACGGACGAGCAATAATACAACGTTCACGATGCTAGGTCATGCGTGAATAAAAATCTAGTCTAGAAAAAAAGATGTATATATATATATATAGAAAAGGTTCAGCTCATTCTAAATCGAAGTATCGTTGGAACGGATGTCGAAAGAAATTCGTCGATCGGCGTGAATCGCGAAAGGTTTCCGACGATTCTAAACGAATCATGGTTCTCGACAAGAGTGAAAATAATCGCAATGTAATATATAATATGTAATATAGTCGTGTAGCAAAACAGAGAGGAGGCAAGAAAAAGAATCGTACGTAAAAAGGAGACAAAAGGTCTACGGACAATTGGTAACTGATTACAGTGTCGCAGCCATAGCTCGATGCATCTTGCAGGTACCCTCTTTCACATTTTTGCACGTTTCGAAAGATCTTCTGCATCGAATAGACGATTTTTCTCTGTCGCTATACAGTAAATGTAAGAACTTCTCGTTGCATAGACTACTTCTTCTTTTTCTCTACATCTTACATTTTTTTATCACTTCTCATTGTTTCAGTCTAATATATCATACATGTATATTCAATCTATATCCCTCCCTCCCCCTCTTGTGCTATCGCCGCGCCACTGCGTGCACGTGCGATTATGGTGCTCCGATAGTGAGTTTCGTGTGCTCAAAAACGAAAAAGAACGATGCCTGAAGGGATTGGGAGAAACTTCGAGAAGTTTTACATTCTAGTCGATTCAACGGAATATCGACCAATTGAACAAAGGTCCCTCGTTCATCGTTCGCATCTGTTATCGCGGCGATACGATCGATCCGGGTTACAATTTTCCGCGTAATTTGCCACGTGAACCAATGTCATATCTCTGTATCACGCGCGAGAAACACGGACTTGGAGACCGGGAGGGGTCAAGAAACGGTAAAACGTGTGACGATTCAACGGGAGAAGTAATTAAAATTTTCTCTCTAAACATTAAGAGCGTGAATACGAATGGAAAGGGAGAGAGAAAAAAAGAGGAAATAAAAAGGAGACGCGCGTATATCGGTCGAGCATTCACCGTGTCGCGGGAAATACGAAGCACCTGGAAATAGTACGGCAAGACGCGATGCGAAAATTTCTGTGGCCCGGTATTATCCGTGTACACGCGTGGAGCCCTTCCCTTTTTCACCTCATCGCATCTCATTACTATAACCCATACATATACGCATATATATATATATAATATACATATACATATAAGAGATACTTCCTAAAAAAAAGAGGGGGATGAAAAGTGAAGTTTCTCTTTCAACTACGTGCTTCACTCAACAACACGGTGCTGTCTCTCAAACGAAAAGGCGTACGCAACGTTCGTTTAACTACGATCACGAACACCGGTGTGTGTGCTTTCTTAAAAACCAACTTTCCGTTACGTACGGAGGAAAAAAGTAGTAGAAGGACGAAAAAGCAACGAAACAGCCCGGGGGACGGCTGGCGAACGCCGACCATTTTGGTCTTGCGTCTGCGAGCTACGATCCTCCCGTTCTTCTTCGCGAAGCAGAGAGAGAGGCGACAACGAAACGTCGTTCGAAACGACATTCGACAAAAAAAGACAGAGAGAGAGGCAGATAGATAAAAATAGAGAAAAGAGAGAAAATAGGAGACGGAGTGAGAAAAGGACCATGAAATCAGAAACGTCGAGCATCCCACCATCTTTGATTCAATTCACACGCGCGCACACTGACACACGTAGTAGTAGTAGTAGTAGTACAAGTGTCATTGTCACGTTGAAACATGGCTCGTTTAAGGAGATATACTGCTCACGCTATGTATTTGCAACGATTGTTCGGTTCGTAGTCTGTGTGTGTGTGTGTGTGTATAATATAACGGCTACAGGTAACGACGATAAGCGTCAAAGGAGAAAGAGGAATAATAATGGGCAAAGTAGTATATCGGGTCATCGATATCTCTAAACGGCGGTGATTTCCGCGGTTGAAAAGTTTACCCGGACCCATTCCCCTATATATACACACGTGGGGGTCTAACACAGCCACACCGTTGATGGCATAATTAAAGTCGTTTAATCAAGCATGAAATCGTATGAAAGTACGCCGGGTGTAACGACTGAAACGAGTTTTCGATGGCGTGACTATCCGGTCTCACCGGCCCTGTCCAACCGGCACTCGCGCGCACGCCTCCCCTTATATACATACACAGAGGGTGGAACTCAAAGGAGCCTCTCTCTACAATTAAGTTAATGAAACAGGGTCGAAGGGAGAGAGCGTGTGTATACGAAAGCGGATGGGGAACACCCGCGAGACCGGAATTCGAGGTGGAAAAGAGGAATAGGGTGAAGAAGGTAAGAGGAAGAAAAAGAAAGGAGAAAGCTGTGCGCGAAAGTATGTCATTTCGACGCGGTGAATTTCAAATAATCTCGAAGGGAAACCCGGGCTGTGTACCGTGTCGATCAATCGGCTACGGTAAGGAGGGCGATGACTTAACCGTATTTACGTAATATCTTCGAAGTCAAGCTACGTTTGATCATTTTTGAAAAAAGTATTAACTAGAGACTGGGGGACATTTTCCGGTTGGTTAATAGGAATTCCATAATTCGACCGGAATTTTTCTTCTTCGAGTATAATTTAAAGCCGGAAATTCCTTTCTCGATAAGTCAATTTTCACCGGTATCGAGGACCTCTGGTCTTTAAGAGTTCAGCTGCTTGCTTCGGTATAGGTTCTGTTCCATCTGGTTTGGTGGAAAAGTTCTGGGTTTACTCTCGCGAGGAGAGGATTTTTCTTCGCGAATTTCTATGTACGTGTCGCGCTGGTTTCAATGTTAGACTTGTTTCAGATCTAATTAATTCCCGACGACGTCCTAACCGGTTGCTTTCATTGCCACTCGACGTGACGGCACACTTTTCAACGTCTACACTTTAAAACGCTCGAGATGCCGCGAAATATATTTTAATCGAATTAAACGCGCCTCTCCTGTCAACTTGCCGCGATACTTTCCTCTTTAATCCATTTGCAATGGTAATACGATCATTATACAACTTGTTCAGACCAAACGCCAGAGGTGACAGCACGAATATGTCTACACACACTACCGGCCAAAAATTTCAGATCACTATGCGCTGCAAGTTACGCAAAAAATTCCAGAAAAAATTAACAAATTTACAGGAATTTTTTAAGAATTCTTTTATCGTTAAAATCAATGGAAACAAACTAAATCGCTATTAACCCTTTGCACTAGGAGGTCTTTTCGCTGTAGGAAAGGTTGCAAATCGGATATTTGTAATTTTTTAAAACTAACGTAAAAATGAACTGTACTATTTTATTTCAATATTCGATGTATTTTTCATTTCACTCTGTTGATCACATTTACGGAGGCCCATAGATCTGCTCTCTGTCTCTTAATTATTACCAAGTGATAATCATTTAATGTCGCTTCTCAGTCGCCACTCGATTGCAAAGGGTTAATCTCCACACCGTCGATTTCAGATCTGCGAAGAATCAGTATCAGACCTAATATTACTGTAAATTGGCAAGCGGTCTCGAACTTAATATCAGCGAAAAACATAGGTTTACAAATTGACTCGAAAAACTTCATCAAATGACGAAACGATCGAACAATCTTCGACACGCTAAGTAAAGTCGAAAATGTTGGATTTCTAAGGAGGTTCCAATCCCCTTCTTCCCTCCGATGGAAAGTAACGCGTAACTCGGGTGATTAACGACGATGATGGGTTCCTTCGCCGCGCTCGACAATATCTAAAGCGGTTTTCGATATCCGGCGAACCGACCAATCGTCGCGGGTGGCGCTCGACCCGCCCTTGAAATTCTTACACAGGAGGTGGAGGAGAAGAAGGAGCCAGGAAATGGGAGGAGGAGGAGAAGTAGAGAGAAAGAAGAAAGAGAAGAGAAAAGAAAAGAAAAACGAAAGAACAAGTGTAGAAGAATTATAGAATCGTAGTAGAAATCTCAGGTGCAGTGGCTGACGAGCAAGAAGGGGTTTACGTATCGCTAATTACGTAACAAACAGCGTGGATTCTATTTCTCGTGGATCGTGTTGCGCGTGATTCGTTCCGCGAGCTTTCAACGCGTCGGTTAATTTTGCCGGTCGACGAACGTGAAACAGGATCGGTGATAACGCGACGGTGTAATCGAAACACGTGTATAGGCCCGATTCGAAACGAAAGTTGCACGGGAATAACTGTTCGCGAACACTCGCCAATAATGCGTGTTCGCGTGTCTATCTAGCGTTTTCTAGATGTAACAACGCAATAGGGAAACGCGAGAGATATTCGTCGGTGAAAAAAATTCAACATACACATACATATATGTATGCATGTAAGTATACACGTTTTGTTGTTGTTCGAAAAAAATCACGATCGACGAGAAATCCACATCACGTGGAAGTCAGATGCATTGGTCAGAAAAAACCAGGATATTAAAAGCGAAACGAAGATCTCGGGATCAAGGACGATCCTGAAGTCAGGACGGTCCTACGATCAAGGACCAAGGATCTTGACGAGGGTACCTGAGCCACACATGGGCCGGGCTGCTCGCAACTGCATTGCCGTTTCACTCGTTAGCAGGGCTTTCCATCTCGTTCGTTGTTCGCACTTTCCTGATTGGTCAGAGACTGATCAGAGTGAAGATCGGCCGTGCATGATCCGATTGGCGATCATGTCCTAATTTTTCAGCCCTTGAACGTTCGAGATCTCTCGCGCGTAACAGCGATTACCAAAAGTGATCGAGACGGTGTTTTTATCGATGCTTTCTGTCGAGATACTGCCTCTAGATTCACTTTCGTTTCTACCCATTTCTGATCGAATCTCGTGATTCCTTTCGGCAAAAGGAAAACACGACGATTCTTCGTATCAATAGGATATTGATAATTATTGCTTCTGAACCGATTATTTTTTCTTCTCTTTTCTTTTTTCCCGTCGGAAGGTATAGGTGTATCGATTGCATAATTTATGCACGACGGCACGAAAGGCAAAGACTACGGGAGTCTATAATAAACAGCGGATGGAAAGATATAGAGAGAAACAATAGGAAGTTTCAATTTGCAACGAACGTTCCAACTACTCGTGTTATTTCTCGATCGAACTTGCAACAACGTGCGCGACAATTCCGCGACGAACGGAGGAAGCGGTAGAAAGAGGTCAGCAAGGTATACAAATTTTTCTATCTACAGATACGGCTTGTAAGATTTATTTTCGCGGTGATTATTTTTAGCAACCCTTCCTGGAACGACTAATTGAGCACGTCTTAATCGCCGATTATTGTTATTAACTTTCGCTTCGAAACTTTTACGGCGCCATTACATCGACTTGAATAACTATAAACTTGCCCGTACTATACTTGGAATACTCATTCATGAATAATATAAAATTATACACAGTAGAGGTGTTCCTCTTTAAGAACGGCGATCGAATGTCTGTGGTTCGAAGATTTTCAGACTACTTGAAAAATTGTAAATAAATATTTTTTATTTTTTCTGTTTAAGAAAATGTGAGATATTTAGATGTCGATGATTTTACTCGATTTCTCAATTTACTTATCGTAACTATGAAACCGAAAACCTAAGATCTACAAAAAGCTTTCCCCTTCAACAAAACAAAAGATATTTACTTTTACTTAATTTTACTAAATTTTACTTAATTTCTCAATTTGCAAATTCTAACTTCGAGACCTAAAGGACCGAAGCATTCAATATTCCACTAATTCTGCAAATAATCGTAAATATCACTTGAAATACCAAAAAAATTGTAAATAAATATTTTCAAACTTTTCGTCTTAAAAAAAAAAAAATATTTAGTTATCGATGATTTCACTCAGTTTGTCAGTTTAAATATAATAATTTCTAAACCTAAATGACTCTAAATCACGCGAAACAGAAGAAAAAACGAGCGAACAGGATAATCCTGAAAAAATGCAGAGTACTTCCTCGAAAAAATGCCCAATTCCCAAAACAACTTGTCACAAGAGCTTTCGCACGTTTCAACCTTCGAGCCTGTCAATCTGAGCCGCGAGCCTGATCAAAATTCCTCGAAGCGTCTGGGTGGATCGCGTGGCTCGCAATTTTTCACTCGGCCGGCCTATCTCGTCCCGGCTGCGATGATGCGATTAAACATTCGGTTTAGCGCGGCGCTTCTGCATCGCGGCCCGATAGTCATCTTACTTTTTTCATCGTGGTGAACGTGGTGGCGCGCGCGGAACACGTCGATACTTTCCTCGATAAACAGACTCTCTCCTCGACTTCGTTGATCGTATCACGCGGCGTCCCTCTATCTATTTTCCGATACTTATTTCTCCCCTCTTTGTGCACCAAAAACGACACACGAGAGCGAGCAAGTAAGCAAGCCAGGTAAGAGCAAACGGGGGGAGGTAGGAAGGAAAGAGGAGGAACGAACGGGAGAGACGCGACTGGGTCGATCTTTCTACGATCTGAGAAACAGAGAAAATCGGGGGGAGGAGAGATGTGCACGAGCGAAACGGGGAAAGAAACGTCGAGGGAGGGAAAAACCGAGGGTTGGAGGCGACAGAAAGAAACGGAAAGATAGAGGAGAAACGAGTAGGTTGGTTGTTTCGCGAGAAAGAGAGAGGGAAGATCTTATCCAACGTCCTGGGGATCCCAACGCCCGCGATCTCCAGCCTGAGTTTAGGTGGCTCTGGTAAGTGAATAGCGATTTCCAAAACTCAGATCCTGCCGGCCAAGTGTCCGAAATAACCGTTCGCATAAGCGGCTATCGGCTTCGGCTTAGATTTCGATTGTTTCGATGCATCGGAATGGGTGCACTGAATTTTCGAGTGGATACCGGCGAAGATGCTTCTGGGAGTATGTAACTGTCGGAGAAGTAAATAAAGAATCGAACCAACTGCTTCTTTATTGTACTACGAGACTTCTTATTCGTTGCTCTGTTTCCTTTTTATTTTACAACTATACGCATATGGTGTTCTTTTTTTTAAACGTCCTATCCAATTTTAAAGACTAAGTACTACACTAATAATAGTGGAAAAATCAGACGTAATTAATAAGAACGAAGAGGTTCTCTTTGCGACCATTTACAGTTTCATTTGATATGCAAATTAGAAAAATTATGACAAAACATTAGTCTGAAATTTTTGCATAGGCACAATTAGTATTGTACAATATGTTTCTCGAGTTAGACAAGAGTCACTTTACATAAACAATATTAACAGAAAAATTGCAAAGGGAGTTACATACTGTACGAAATTTTTCCATCGACGCAATTAGTATTACACGATACATATCTCGAGCTAGTCTTTATAAACACCTCGTTAACAGAAAGATCGCATTGCGGCGAGTCAGAGTTGCTGTGAAATCTACGTTGCAATTTTGTCGGTACATTTAACCGAATCGATAGAAAAATTGCTCCGCGGAAAGATCCAGCCCGGTGTACAATCTACCTGATAATTTAATCGGTAGATACAACCTTTAAATTTCGCCGTAATCCGGGCTATGACTGAAAACCGTCGTTGTGCAATAAATTCACCGTTAATGTCCCTTACCCACGGCAAACGTTTAATTAACATAGATCCGTAAATCCAGCACGACGAGGATACGGTGTATTTACTTTATTTGTGAAGGCTAATTGGGTACAAACTACGGTAAAGTCGCGACGCATTCTGATTTCCAACGGGGCAACATAGCCCGCCTATGAAACAATTCGACGCGAGTCGAGGATATTTTCTTCTTTGGAGTGCGCGGAGTAATTAGACTCTACGAAGATCTCGAAATTCTCCGCTGGAACGTGAAGTAGATGCACCCAGAGGATTCTACAGCGGAATAAAAATTTCAAACGAGCAACCATCCAACTCTTCCATTTCATCTTCGTCGAGGTTCATTTGAAAACACTTTTTATTCCCGCGTGTATATCGCTGTGTTCTTCAATTTTTCTAATTCTCCTTCGTGCTATTCCCGCGAAGTACTCGTGGAAATATTTGTAAAGCATTTTTACTGGGTCTAATCTGTTCTCCGTAATGAAGGAACTGCCAACTCCAACTTGGAAAATATCGACAATTAGCAATTGATGGTAACAACTTTTGCGCACAAAGCACAGTGCACAACAAATTGACGCAATAGCGAAATCCTCAGAGCTATTTCTACCAAGTAAAACTCCCGCGCAAGCCAATACCCACGAATTCACCGCCGACTGATCATTTCTCCGATAGCAAAGAGACCGGAAGAGGAAGAAGGGGAGGAAGAAACAGGAAAAAGAAATGAAACAAAACAGTTTGGTAATTAAATTACGCATTCTCGGTCGTTAAAATTCTTCTCCTCGACGAGCTTAATATTCAAAACGAAGGACCGTCGGCGTTTCAGCGCGCTCGCGCCAGCAAAAGGTACACGAAAGAACGGTAGAACAGCCGCGCAGCATTCGGCGGAATTCCATTAAACTAGTTGGCGTCGGATTGGGAAACAGAAGGAACACGCGGAGAGAAAACGAGAGAAGAAGGAGGAGTGGCAGAGTAAAAACAGCGATGAAAGGTGAGAGAGAGAGAGAGAGAGAGGGAAAAAAGGGGAAAAGGAGTGTGCTGGGTGAAACGTCAGCTTTCGTTGCCGGTAGGTTTATTATAAACGGCCTCGTTTTCCTCGTTTCGCAACACGGTCAAGTGGAGCATCGCGTGGCGAAAAATAATTTGCGCCTTTGCGTCGAGAAAGCTGGTGCTGCTGTTCCTGCCAACCGAATGGAGTTTCCTCGAAACGCACGCGCGCACACACACGCGATGGATGGTGAGGAAAATTCGTAGACGAGAGAAAGAAAAGAGAGAGAAAAAAGGGGCACTTGGTTCGTGAATTCGCGAATCACTCGCGGAATCGGTGGTCGAAACGCGCGACTCCTCTCGCTCGGCGTTTGGTTTGGTTCGGTGGCGTTTTTGCACATTTAAAAAAGCGCGTTGATGAAAAAAGTTTTCGCGATCAACGAACCGCGATGAAACTTTTTTAACGAGTCATCGAAGTATCGCGCGTTCCCAGGCAATATGAATATAATGGTGTTCGGAGCACGCTCAGAACTTTCGCGAAAGCGATGTAAAATAATTGGAAATTCTTCGCCGGCCGTATATCTATGGAACGTTACGCGTCGATCTACGTGCACATCCTCGAAATGAGAAGGGAAGGGGAGTGATGAACGATTTTCCACATTTTCGTTAAAATCTCGAGTACTTTCACAATGCTACACAAACGTGCCTTTTTTTCCATGGAAATTCGTTTATTCCAACCGATGACAAAAGCAGAAGCTTCCGATAAAATTATAACAGGTATTATTCTTGATTGCAAAACTGTTGCAATCGAAAAATCGTAGTGTAGTCGAATTTAGAACGTTTCTTATTCACGGCACTTAAGAAATTCGAGCTGGTAAAAAAGCACGGTTGAATGGTAACATGTCGTTAACCCTATTTCGAGAGAGAGAAAGAGAGGGCCAGGTAGGGATCGATAGTAATGGATCGTTGATGTGCCGGTGACCGGGCAATGTATGAAAGCACGCTACTTCCGGGAGAGAGGAACCGAACGAACCCCTCTATTCGTCCCCCGAGAATAAAAAAGTTCGATGAAAGCCACCGTGCACTTGCTACCTTCTTATGCAAAAGTCGTAAAAACGTTAGACTTGTTGCTATGGGAATGGCGTAAAAATATCGGGAACAAATAACATACATACATAGGTGTTGTTCGGGAAAGTTGCAACACCGTGGTCGTAAAGTTACGATTGCCTTCCGAACAATTCTTGCTTCGATTGTTTTTCGAAAGTACGTTGATTCGCCCAAGTATTTCATACCATAGGCGATGCATAAGAATAAACCGAGAGATAATATTATCGATACTGATAATATTTTGTTCTTTAGCGAAATGTAAATGTAAATTAATGAGATTAGTAGCGACTCAGATTGTGGAACGGAATTTACAACTTGTTTGCAGAAGATTTTTTGTTTCGTCCAGTTTATCTTCCGAATTTCTTTTTTTGTTCTTTTCGATTGTTTTCCTAGGTACGCTATAAGATCGGGAATCCTTGATTTTCCTCCTAACAAGAGTTCACGTGAGTGGAATTCGGTTCTTGGCATTATTCACCAAGATTTGATTGCTTAGACCGAGCAACGTTCGAGAAATAGGCTACACGAGGTACAAAAGAAAGAGCGCCGCTGCAGAAGGCTACCTGGGCAATTTCAAGAATTAATTTCCGTGAACTCCTGCAGAGAATGTCTTTCCCTTAATTGTAGAACTGCCCCGAGTACCCTTATTCCCTCTCTGTCTCTCTAAAATCTCAAAATTGCTCCCATCTTTTCCACATTTGAGCACATTCTCTTTCTAAAATTATCCTCGAAACGGTTCGCTTCATCGCGTTTAAAAAAAAGATCTGCAAATCTCTACTGTTCCGACTAAAATGAACTGTACCGTAGAAAAAAAAGAACAGAAAAAAGTAAGCCATTTTATCTCATCATTTCCTTATCCATAACCCCTTATCTTTTATCTCTCGCGAGCTTAGGATCGACTTTTAAAATTGTTTACACTTTCCACACGCGTGCGATCACTCTGAAAATACCGGTTATCTGTTGTTCTAAATCAGTTAAAGTTACGTCCCGGCCCATGGGAAGCGGGATTTACATTTTTCCGCAGTTATTCAGTGCCCCCGCGTTGCGTTTGCGTAGAGGCTGATCAGCGGATCAGATCGACGGGGCTATGCAGTTTGTAACAAATGCTGTTCTCCCTGTCGCGAGAAAGTGAGTCGTTGTGCTTTAATATCGATCGTCGCGGAGATTAAGAAGCCGGAGCTTTACGAAGTGGGGAAAAGAAAGAAGGGAGAACTGTGAAAAGGAAACGATTTCAAACCGGAGAAAACTTACTTCTTACTTTCCTTAAACCCTTTAATACCGTAAACGTTGTTTATACACTGAAATTAAGCAACGCGTTAGAAATAGCGCAGCAGTTGGCAGTAAATTCAATACGGTAAGACCTCGTTTTAAAGAAGTCTCGTTTCGACTTCCTTCTTGCTGCCTTTTCCGCGCCTCCCCGTTCCCCCCTCCACGCTTGCGAAAAGTGAAAAAGCAAACGGCCAGAAACCATTTCCACTTCGCGTTAATTTTTCAGAAAGAAGGTGAACAGGCCCGTGGAACGACGAGGCTCGATTGTTGCAACGACCGCGGCTACCGGCAAAAGTACGAGCGTCAGGCAACGAAACTTCCCAGACTCTTCCTATTTTCTTTCCAAACCCATTCCAAACTACCGTCTCTCGTCCCTTTTCTTCAGTACACTTTCTTTGCCCTGGACTTTCCAAATTCCAGCACATCGAAACACCGATAGTTACATACCAACCACGCTTGTACAACAGATCTATCGAAACATGTGGACGCAACTTAACGGTTGAATTGGGTCTATAAAAATAATGGTAACAAGTTCGTGCTGAAAATTTCTCCTATTTTCAAATTACGAATAATTCTATATTTCATTAACTGTTCCTACAAATTCAACCCTTCTACTTAACACGTTCACTGTCACGCCAGATTTACATATTTTGCTCAGGGAGCAACGAGAAAATTTTCATTATTCTAAACGTAGTATTTATTTATTTATTTATACCGGAAAATTCCCCATTAGATTACGCACAAATAGTGAAAACATTACAGGTAATACAAGAAATACTAACGGACGCAAATTCAAAATGAGAAACTTGCAAGACTCCGTCGATGTGTGTTATGAAGGAGTGACTAGAAACATTGGAAAAATTTAAATGTTTATTACGCTTTAATTCAAAATAATGTCTAGTTAGCTACGACGTTCCAAATTTTCAGTCGACTGTACTCGTTTTATTTTAATTATTCTAAACATTTGAGGTCCTCCGGTCACCGATGACCTCGTAACCCCATCGAGGGAACAATATCTCCGGTCACAGGTGACCAACGTGGCAGCGAACGCGTCAAACGAATAATTTACAATTAAGTAGATTAGTCCAACTCTCCAACTCTCCGTCTTAAGAACAAATATTTGTTCAATAACCTCTATCCTCTCGAATTCACACTTGAACCGGCTATTCCCGTATGCTCTCGGTATACACCTACCCTGTACAGCAGAGTCGTGGTTGTTCGTTCGGTGGACTTTATGGTGCATCTCGCGGCGAATACGCGACAGAGAAACGAACAGGCGCCAAGCCAAAGCCTCGACAAGTTTCTAGACGTACTCAATTAAAAGTTCTAGCCGCTCGGGCGGAGTGGAGCCGAGGGGCGGAGATGGGGTTGGGTGGGTGGCCGGGTGCACGGGGCAGAACCATTCTGTCTTCATTTTTTCTCAAGTGGATCTACGTCGATCACGGGGAAAATGGCACGATCCACTGGCATTTCATTATCGCCTCGATTACACGAGTGCTCCTGGTTACTGCCAGGCAATTTCACTCGACCCTTTAGATTCACCGCTGCAATGCATCCACGGCTTCAAACCAACCCCCCCGAGTTTCGACCCCTCCTTTCGGTAGAACTACATCCTCTTCCCTTCGTTTAACCTCTGTCTACCTCTTTCTTCCGCTGGTTTAACGCTACCAGCCTTGTTTCCACCGATTACATCGTCTACTACCGTTTTCACGATCGGCTCTCGTTCAAGATGCGAGAATACGACTCGACGGGCTGTGTTGCTTCGAGTATTTTATAGAACTCGAAGACGATACCGAGAGACGGCTGTGATTATACTTTTGGCAATCGCTGTACGCTCGAAGATATCTCGCACAGTAAAGAGCAATCTACTTGTATTTTCTTTTTTTTTTTTAATTCTTTTACGTGACCGTTCTTGGTTAACGCGTGGAAAGCATGGCGCATATTGCGTGCACCATGATGACGGTTCGTAAGGTCTTCTTTCTGGGGTGGGCAAGGTGGATAAACGAATGGAAAATATTCTCCTTGCATTTTTTTCTTTTTTTTTTTTTAGGGTGGAATATTACTGTGTTTCGATGTTTTATCGCAATTGGTTCTTCTTATAGCTAATGAAATTGTACATACGACCTCGATATATTTTTGTAGCAGATAAATTCACCGAATTTCGAGTTATCGAAAGTTTGCACGCCTGTTCTATGATTTGTATTTATTTTCAGGCGACGCTCGACAGGCGAATATAATATTTCAATTACCAGTGATAAATGGGTCGTTAAATAACGTTAACCATCGTTGGATTTTAATCGGGCGAATTAGCGGTCGATGAAACAATTTCACCGTGACGAATGGCAAATTTTTTTTAAACAATCGTTTGAACCATAGTCTCTATCGGAGCGAGATTATTTAAACCGCGGAGCTCGAAGCTTTGAAAAAGATCCATTTTTAACGAGAGCACCGGCGTAACGACCATTTCACCCGGCTTTGAATTGTAAAACAACATCTCGAAAGATACTCTAGTGTGGAAAAAAACCGTGAAACCGATAGTCGAGAAGAAACAGAATGAACTGGTAAGGGATCTTCCTATGCCGCGTCTTTTCAATTTTCATTAAACATCGATCGAAAAGCGTAGTCCATTTGCAAACCTCCGAGAGCCTTTCTCGAGTAACATTTTTCCATCTCAAAGGTATAAAGAGGTCGGTATTATTATTCTTTCATCGAACCACACTTTTTCTCAATCGTGCTCCCCTTTTTTTCTTCTTTCTTTCTCTTCCTCCAATTATTCCAACGAACATTTACGCAACATTTCTCGTTCGATGTTCCGTCTTATCGACCGTGGGATTTCCCATTCGTTTATCAGCGGTTACGAAATTTGGGGGGCGGGGGCTGGTGGTGGTACATATAATACGTTCGCGGACACGTACGCTTACATTCGGAACAGACATGCTTTTTTGTTTTAATCCACCACTGTTCTACACCGAAATGAAGGAAAAGAAAATTTTCTGCTGACTTACCGAAGGGAACCTCCAAACGGCAGTCTATGAGAAGCGAGTGGCCGGTTGGCTTTTTCGTGCCGATGATCTCGGTACCTCTCATCTCCAGCTCCGAGTCGAGACTGACCCATTGTCCGGAACCCTCCTGAAAAGGAAAATCGGCACACCAAACATTGGTAACAAGGAACACCAGCGAACCATTCCCTTTCCCATTATGGAATAATTGAACGGATTAAACGCAAAGAGATGCAAATGCGAGTAATCAAGCTTCTAGAGGGGGGAGGAGGAGGAGGAAGGGAACTCAATTTTAACTTATTGCGTTCCGTAAGATTTCAGAGAAAATTCAGCTTCATCAAGCATGATACTGCTACTATTTCATGCGGTGAGTTATAACCGGGCGACAGCTCGCGTCTTCAACTCCTGTCTACGAATCGCTGGACGTTCTGCCGAAAGGCAGAAAATGTCCGTTGCGGTGGTGTTTTTGACAAAAGTTTCAAACGGTGAAACGATAGATATTCTTTTGTTACGGCGAATTCGACTGTGTGAGTAATTTTTGGAAAGCTTCGCTTTGCTGAATGCTTTCAAGTTTTGTAATTTTTTGTTCAATTGTTCAAAATTGTCCTTCGAATGATCGACGTTCTTTTCTTGTGATGCATTTTTATTGTAATGAATTCACTACAGAAATAATTTTCAGAAAGCTGTGCTATTTTTAATATTTTCAAAATTTTCATCTTTCTCCACCCATTTCTTTCAGTCGTTCAAAATTGTCAGCGGAATGATTATGTCACTCGCAAAATTGAATTTGCAACAATTAAACATGATAGAAAAATGATAAACAGTCTTTTCTTAATATGTAATTGTATTATAATGAATTTACTACATAAATAATTTTCAGGAAGCTCTGCTTCGTTAAATATTTTCAAAATTTCTAATTTTCTCCAATCGTTGAAAATTGTCCCTCATGGTGCATTTTTATTGTAATAAATTCGACTAGATGAATAATTTTCAGAGAGCTCTAAAATAATCTTCAAAATTTCTAATTTTTTTCAATCGTTAAAAATTGATATACCTTTCCTGTAACAAATTCGACTAGGTGAATCATTTTCCAAAAGCTCAGCTCCCTCGATAATTCCCATATTTTCGAAACACGTCGAAATTTCTCCCCGAAAGCACGGGCATTCGTCCATAAAAAAGAAAGAAAACAAAAATAAGCGTACGAAATATTTTTCAAAGAGACACCGCTGTCACTTAAGCGATCCACCTGGCAAGTACACCCGGTGATTAATGAACAGAAACGTACACACGCTCCTACAACCCTGTATCGTCACCCGTTTCCCACCCTCTTCGTCCACGTTAAAGCGTTTAACGCGGTCGCAACGCAACACGTGCATATAATAAACAAACGGTCGTTAGCGTGGCCGCGTTTCGACTACGCTAAATTCCCCCCTAATGTACCCATCTAAATTCTAATGCAGCCGTGTGCCGGGTGAATCCGTATCGACCTGTACAGGCGTCGAATATCAATCGATCGTTTCGGAACAGTATCTTACCGAAGGGCGGAGCTTAAATAACGTTATGAATAAATTAATAGGATTGCGCCAAGGGGGGGAGGGAGAACGCGATTATTCCTTCGCCGCAGAAATATAATTCTCCTCTGCGAAACAATCGCTCCTTCGCTCTTTCCCCTCTTAAGTTTGCCCTCGAGCCCGTTACCACCGCCCTTACGGTTCAAGGGGATGCAATTATTAGATACGGCCCGTGCTGTAATTTATGTAACTGAAGTTACTTGGTCGAAACCATTCTTTGCGCCAATGTGTACACACATATACACGTACATGTACATAGACAGGATTAATGTTCGCCGCGGAAGCAGCAGCGCGGACTAGTAATGGTCATGTACCGCGGCTAAAGGCACATAACACGTGTACATAAATTCTAGAAAAGTCCCATTCCATGGCTCTGCCGTCCTGTACTCTCAGAAATGAGCTGCGAAGCATGGCTATCAAAGTGCACGCGCAGCTGTTTGCAAATGACATGCCGTAATTAAAGCAATTCTCTTTTATCCACAGCTGCCGCCGCCTACGACTTACAACCGGAACGGAACACTACCGGAGCTGTGCCGTATTTCTCTCTCTCTCTTGGCTGCGCCGTTCTGTCTTAATTATTTGTAACGAGATCACGTTGACAAATTAGTCGTTTCGCAGGAAGGCGATCGAACAGGAGGCTGTGCGACATAAAACGAGGAGAAGATACGCGTTTCTTCGGAGAAATCCGCGTGATTCTGGTGCCTAGGGCCTTGATTGGCACGGATTGTCCCTCTCAATCGTGGAATTTCCCATTCCAGATTGATCTTCTCGCGGAGGAAGTGTACGATTGTATATGGACAAACGATGGTTGATGGGAATGATTGTATAGGAAGTTAGTAAGGGGACCTAGGGTGAACAAAGTTTAATAGATCGATAAGAAGAATGGGGTAATCAGAAGATTCGATGATTGACAATTTCAATTTTTTTTATAAGTGAAAAATAATTTCGTGAAAAGTTGTTTCCTTGTATCTTGATGGAAATGATTCTACAGGAACGTTGATAAGACTATGAAACGAAAATTTAATAGATCGATAAGAAACAATTTGAATTCTTTTTACAAGTGAAAAATAATTTCGTGAAAAATTGTTTCCTTGTATCTCGATGGAAATGATTCTACAGGAACGTTGATAAGACTATGAAACGAAAATTTAATAGATCGATGATTGACAATTTGAATTCTTTTTACAAGTGAAAAATAATTTCGTGAAAAATTGTTTCCTTGTATCTCGATGGAAATGATTCGACAGGAACGTTGATAAGACTATGAAACAAAAATTTAATAGATCGATAAGAAACAATTTGAATTTTTTTTACAAGTGAAAAATAATTTCGTGAAAAATTGTTTCCTTGTAACTTGACCAAAATGACTGCATAGGAAGGTTAATAACACTGAGGAAAAAATCATTACATCGATAAGAAGAATGGGGTGATCAGAAGATTCAATGTCCGACAATTTGCATTTCTTTCGCCCAATAAAAAATCGTTCTCTCGCGCGTTTCTCACTCCACGAAACAACGTTTCACAAATACGATAACCTTTATTTCGTAGATATACGGGGGAGCACGACAGGTATCGTGATAAAATTGTTACGTCGGGGGGAAAAGCGTCGGGCGACGATTCCGCCGTGACAAGTTTAATTCGTATCTACGTGTTTCCACCAATATCAATTTCGCTCATGCATAAAGCGCGCAACTTTGGACGAAAGTTTCGTTGTGCAAATATTTCCGTCGCGGTTTCCAAACACACACAGAATCGCCGCGGCGTTTCCGGAATATTGATACGTATATGATTTACAACGTAAGCGAAAGCGAACAGCGGTGGGAGATAAGGTGTCTGCGTAATTTCCACTGTTCTAATATCGCGATATTAATAGAAACATAACGACTCAGGGGGATATGTAAATCGAGCCCAATTGATTTGTTACGATAGCACCCGGTTTCCCATTCACGATGCTTTTACTACGTATCAAGACACCTGCTTGCACCTGTTGTATCTATTCCCCCGAAATGCATTTCGCCACAGCGTTCATTTTCGGGCCGACGTACACGCGATATTCTCGCGAGGTTGCGGTGATTAGTTTTCGCCTGGCTCGAATGAAACGCAAACACCAATCGAGAGTTAACCTTTTCTGGCGAGGTCTATTAATGGGAGGTATTCAATTCATAATTAAAACCAGCCGCTTGCTTCCCTTCGAATGTCGCGTTATAAATTGGGAATGCGCGATTTTCTTTTTAATCCTGAGCATTCTTTCTCAGACGTTTCTGGGAATTTTAACGGTAGACTTAAGTTTGAGAGGAAAATTGGAATTTGCAGAAATTAAAGATCGGGGTTCGTAAGCTGCTAATGAACGAACCAAAGAATTACCTATGATACAGATTTCTTTTTCATTATTTTCACACTTTCTTTGGAATTTGGAAAATCTGAAATTTGCAAAAATTAAAAATGATAGAAGAATTGAAATTTCTATACTATTATGAGTGAACCTGAAAATTACCTACGATACAGATTTTTTTAAATATTTTCACACTTTTTTTGAAATTTCGAAAATTTGGAACTTGCGAAATTAAAAAATGACAGAAAAATTGAAATTTCTATGCTATTATGAATGAGTCCCGAAATCACTTATTATACAGTCCTTTTTAAATATTTTCACACTTCTTTCGGAATTTAGAAAATTTGGAATTTCCAAAAATAAAAAATGACAGAAAAATTGAGGGTTCCAAACCGTTAAGAATGAACTTAAAAATGATCACGAAGACTTCCTTTCAACATTTCCAGCGATCGAAATATTGCACGAAACGCGCGAAAATTTGTCCCGAAACTACAAACGAAAATTGTGGTAAATTTAAGAAGACCTATTTTCGCCACGTACGACATTATCCACCGCAGCAGCCAGCTAGCCGAAATCAGGGTAACGTTGAAACACTAACAAATCATTAAAGTCGACCGCAATCGGTGCACGGTCGTTATCAAATTAAACGGATTGTTATGTGATTACAGGACCGTAAAAAATTCAATAGATTGGCCGGGGGAAACGGGCGGCGCTGTAAAACCTCCATATATTTGGCCGTTTAAAAAAAAGCGCAACCTCAAACTCCGGGACGGATTTGCGGCTTAAACGCTTGGTGACGGCTGAACGATCGAATCAATCACGCTCCAGCGAGACCTTTGTTCCCGTTAATTTGGATTTTTACGTGCAGAACCGATCCTTTTCGACAACCTATTCGTATATTTAAAGGTCGTCCAGGCTATCCACTTAACGGCACGCAGCAGGAAACTCGACACAGGAATTCGTTAAAAAATTCATTCGAGACGCGGCGATTAATTTTCCGCTGAGCTTCGGCAATTCGAATTTATTCTTGTGACATTGATTCGAAAAATCGTGACATTGAAAACTTCAAGCTTCGAAACAATCTCTCGTTCCATCAATGTCTACGACATATGTGTGTGTGTGTGTGTAGAATAAAAACGTTAGATTTCTCAGATTTAAGGAACAATTTTTTTCTTTTTATTTTTGCAGCATTTTCAAAGGTTTCTCGAAGGACGCTCGAAAAATTCC